CCGTCTGCGGGCAGAAGGGAGTGCACGGTGAATTTTCTCTGGAGTTGGAACATACTACAAAATACATTTTCTTTGTTCCAAAGCAGAGCGCTTCATAGAGAAACTGTTGAAAAGTTTAGTTACCTGATCTGAATGTTAGAAGTACCCTGTGCTTAGCAGTTAAAGCTGTATTTTTAGAGCCTCCTTTATCTGCAAGCTAGGCTGTGATTAAAAAGTTCCATGATGCAAACAATTGGACAGTGACCTGGATGGAGATAATGATACAGTACTGGCTCAACTGCTGCAATACTATTGCAGTCTGTCTTGCTTAACACCACAGCTGTGTGGTGCAGCTGAAGCAAGAGGGCTTAGAGGAATTGCGACAATTCCTCCCCTCCCATTCCCTTAGAAACAAAAACAAAACAAAAAAGAAACCCTTCCAGGTTCTGCTGACGAGCCTGATGCATGTGAAGAAGCGAGTCTGGTGGGACTTGAATAGGCCTTGATTGGCACCGGTAGAGCATGAGAACTCAGAGCTACAGCAGTTGACTTCGTAGTCACAACTATATGCTCATCTCTAAGTAGTAGCAATTGTGTCGTTATTGCCTCTTGTGCCAAATCACAGCAGTTTGGTGAACTCAAAGAAGGAAGATTCTGAACAACTCCTTTGGTTTATGGCACGAAAAAGCCTGCTGTGCCCCCTGTACTGTAACTCGGGAGGGCTCAGTCCTGTCCCTGCCATGACTGTTCATCTGCCTCCTCTGCTGCCCCGCTCCCTGAGCCTTTCAGCCCCAGCAAGTGCAGGTAGATCTGCTCTGCCTGACCTGCTGAAGGCTGCTGGGCTTGTCCGGTACAGAAGGCAAGCTGATGGGGAGAGACCAGGTAGTCAGTGTTCTCCTCCCACAGGAAAAAACTGTCCTGCTGCCTCCCTCCCTTCCAGAAAGGGCACTTCTGACTTCTTCCAGTTAAATTGAAGAGGTACAGAGATCCTTATTATTGGAGATCTGTGCATTTGTTGTCTCTTTACAGACTGGCACTGATCAATTTTGATGTATTTTGTTTTATTTGCACAATTAAGCAGTTCCTGAAAGGCTACCAGGACATCAGTGAGGAAGATTTGTAGCCTGTGTTTAAAACATCCGGGACGAGCTTCTCCTTGAAATCAATGAGAACTTGTCATTGGTTTCAGAATCATCAGGGCCTCCTTGGGGTGGGGGTATTAAGACAGTGCAACAAATAGCTTTGTGTGTGCTACAGATAACTTGGCAGGGATGCAAAGCACTTTACATTTCTCATTTTTGCTCTTGACCATTTATAGTCCTGGCCTGCTTTTGGCATTGTTCTTAGCTGGGACAAGAGGAGCTCGCTGCAGCCAAAAAAATGAGTACAGAAAATAAGCCTAAATGGCTTGTGGAGCCGAGTGCTCTTGCGTGCTTCCCATCAGCTTTGTTTGTTGTTTCTGCGTGAGTGCTGTTCCACTTTCTGTTTCTAGAGCCTTAGCACAACATTGCAGTGTTTGATTGCAGACACTGCAGGGGATATTTCCTGTCCCAATAATTCGCTTTCATTGGAACAAAACAAAAAATTGAAGAACCACCTCAGTTAGGAGGCTTTGGGTGAGATTGTTATTTCATAACTAAATAATTTTGTGGCTTTTAAGTCCTGATGTTATGCTGGGGCAAGCTGTGAGGGGTCTGAACCAGCCACTGAGGATTCCCTTCGCCTGAGGGGCACCAGATTAGGATTAGATTAAACATCCCATTTTCAGATTTCTCAAGCTTTGCAGAGTAAACATGAGATTCGGGCATTCATCTCATCTCTACCCTTCAGCAGGGTCTTGCTTTCTGGCTGTGACGTAGCAGACCTGCCACCATTCAGGGATGGCATGTAGAGGAGCTTGACGTGTGGTTCCCTGACAGCCTGTACGGGCTGGAGGGGAGATCCACGGAGAGAGGCAGCTCTGCAGGCAGAGCCGCTGCAGCTCCTCTCTCCTGTGGTCATCCAACCTGTGGGAACTCCCTGCAGGGGAGGGAGGACTGCCCTCCCCTTGGCACTCCTGTGCTGCTGGGGTTGGTACCTCCCCGCTCCTGGCAGCCGGCCAGCAGCAGCACAGCCTGCAAGTAGCCCTGCACGTTTGTGGATGTTCAGGCTCCCTTCTGGTGTATTCATGTATTGCCTTTCAAAAGGAGATCTTTGCCCTGAACTACCAACCATGTTGGCGCTGATGGCACTTAACACATTTGCTGAGGAAGTAGATCACTTTCTTGTTTTCCGTTCCCCAGTTTCATTGGTAGCCTCAAGCTTGTGAATGCAGTTCATACAGTGATTTATGAGATTTCTAAAAGAACAACTCAAACTTTCTCTGAAAGTGCAGTCCTCGTGCTGTGCCTCTTCTGTATGATATGTCGGAGGTGGTTAACCTGTTTGTGTTGCCTTTCTCTTTGGTTTGGGGTCTTGCTGTTTTCTTCACTTTGCATCCTCCAGTCTTTCCCTTGAGGTTCTTTCACGTCTCCTTGCCAGCTTTGGAGAGCTCCTTGCACGTGTTGACAGTCCTGTTTGTTTTCTTTGACAGAGGATTTAGGGCAACTGAGGAGTTCTTGTACTTGCTTATTAGGTGGTTGTCAATGCACACTGTATTAAGCTGTCTTCTCTTTATTTAACATTAAATAAAGAAATGCTGCCTTGCCTTTGTCTTTTCTTCGATATGGCTGCCCTTCTGACTTAACGCCGTATGTATGGTTTGTTCTTTCTTGCTCTTCTTACTGCTGTTTGCATCACCGAGCCAGGTGGGAATACCAGTCACAGATGGAGACCCTACACACGAACAACCAAAGACGATCACAGATGCACGGAGCTTGTTGCCGTAAGCGTACCTT